TGACGCCGTTCAAGATTTGACGCCGATTGTTCTGTTTTGTTCCCACGCCGATTCTCAAGAATCGGCATTTTGGATGACCCGATTCTTAAGAATCCTCTTTCTCCAGATTCCTCGCACCAGATCGGTTTCAACATGACGGTACTCATAGATTTACAAAAAAGATTTAAGCGCCAAACTCAACTGAAGCATCCTCCAAAAGAACGACCATGACACTCCATCACCCATCGCACTGCACCGGTGTTGTGCAACTCCATGGCAACCAATCGATACCGGTACTAGCTACCAGTAGTGCATAACACATCAACCATACAATCGACCCCTTGCCTTATTAGCACCACAAGAAAGCATTGTCCGACAAACAGCCGAAATATCTACCTACTAGTACAGAACCATGGTCATCGCGTCAACACTGCTGTCGTCAGACCAAGCAGCTGCATCTCCCATGATGAATGGCACCACTCCACTCCGAGGACGCAATACCGCCAATGGAAAAATGCGTCGACGAGCTTATTCTTGGCGTGGTGAATCTCCTCCGTACGATCGACGCAAGCTCCAACAGACGAATCTCATGGATGTCAATCCGTCCGAATTATTGCCGCTGATTAGCCAAGAATCGCGTTGCGTGTCGGCATGGGTAGTGACAGCCACATCCATCCAAGTCATTGTTTCCATTCTGATTCGAGTGGCATCGTATGCCTATCCCGTCACGTCGGCATCGTCCCCACGAGCGTCGCACAATTGGCTGTGGGATGGCCTCGCGGTTGGTCCCAGTGTCATTGCCGGTGTCTTGCTGCGATTGGTACCACCTCAAGTTATCACGCAAGAAGCTCCTGGTTTCATCTATGCATCGGCATGGATATTGTTGGCCATCAAAGATCGAATGGGTGGTGTCGTTCCCCATGTCCCAACTAGAATATGTGAAGCTGCATTGGGGAGATTGAGGTATGTACCATAATGCTCCGAACTTCTTTTGCACCTCTGCTCACTTGTTTCCTCACACTCATTTGTTTATTTCAATTCTCGTTCTGTTCTGTTTTGCACTGTATATTGATTTCCAGTGTCATGGAATGTCTGATTCTAGTTGCTGTTCAATTCGCTTGCACAGCCTCTACCGTCACTGTGATTCGGTACTGTTTCCTGTCCAAGTTTGACGATGGATTGGCATTGTACATGCCCGAATACACCAGTCGCGCTGTGGGAGATGGGCATCCCTGGATTGTGGTACGTAATTCGCATTTGTTTACTAGTATACGGTAGGAAGCATTCCTGTCCATTAATGTATGTGATTGCCTTGTCGTACTTACACCTCTGCTGCTTTCTGTCTCTGTGTGTCATTATTATTGCTTCAGGACTACTTTCACGAAATGCTCGTCACAACTCTCTTCACTGTGGCACTGCAAGTGGTCCCTGTTTTGTTAAAGTTGAATCGAGGTCCCGTGTGGTTGGCCTTGTTGTTTGTCTATCCACTCTACACCTACGGTGTGGATAGTGGCGGTCACGGCAGTACGCTGTCTCCCAGCATTTTGTTGGCTCTATCATCATCATCTAGCTTTTATCAAATGGGTCGTTGCCTACCCCAAATGTTGGGTGGTCTCTTGGCAGGTCGCATCATGTGTTCCTACTTTCCAGACGACGACAAACGGGCGTAGTAGCGAACAGAATGGTGGTCTGATGATGGCTGAGATTAGAGGGAGAATGGAGTGACAAGGCAAGGACCAGGGCAGGTGTACAGTAGAAAGAAAGCAGACATGTATGTGACACATAATAGATAAGCAGGCATCTATGTACAGATAATTGTTGGGCTTGGTTTTTGATTTGTTCTAAACATGTATTCTTTTGAGCCTGCCAAGAGGGTTCCTTTTGTTTCTTCCAAAAACAAACCCCCTAGTTTTCCTTTTTCTTTACTTTCAGCGGCCAGCACCATCTACAAGCTGGACAAACATACAAATATTTGGATCCTGGTAATGATGTGGATTGTCACAATGAAAGCTTTGCAGCTTCTTTTTCTCGTGTTGTCGTTTGTTTTATCATGTCCTGGAAGCCTCAATACAAGAACGCCAAATTTGATCTCGCACTGCCGGTTGTGCAGCAAATTCCATCAATGTAGCACGAAAGGCTTCGGGCGAATCGAATTGTTGCGCCGTGGCTCCAGCCGCTCTCAAGACTCCCCCCACATCGGTCATGAGTTTCGCTTGTTGTTCTTGTTCCAGCGCCATGATTTGCTGGAGTGCGCCATCGTAATTGTCGGCCGTCAAGAATCCATAAATGGATCCTCCAATACCTCCCACGAGACCACCGGCGGGTCCTAGGACAAATCCACCGGCAATGGCTCCACCGGCCGCACAGAGTCCTTGCTTGACGGATCCTGTGGCGGCCTTGCGCATATCCCGAGAGTCGGTCAAGAATTGCATCAATTCGCGATATTGAAATTCCGTGGCGGCAGGGTCCGGAATGGCTTCGGCAGCGGGATAGTCGTCCATCGTGGCTATGATAGTAGTAGTTGATTAGAAGTGTAGTGGTTGATGAGAGTTGTGTTGTATCGGATCTTCTGATGAAGCTTCACTTTTGTGAGAGATGGTCGAAAGCGTCAAAGCGTCGACGACGAGGAAAGAACAAAAGCTTCCGTTGCCACTCAGCAATCAATCCCGAGTTTAAAACGGGACTCTTCCTTCGAGGACACCCACGTTTGACCTCCTCATCTCATACAGCCGACCACGAACAGATCGAGACAACTTTGCCTCTTTGTCCATGACAACCTCTGTTGTTGGATAAGCAATCATCATCATCATCATCATCAACTACCATCATCTACCGTCATGACTTCCGAACGCAAATGGCTCGAGACGAAACTGGGCGACTTTTTGGGGTTTCAAGATGACAGTTTGGCCGAAGTCCTGGATCATTTGTTGTCGATTGAAAGCGAAGGAGATTTGCTGGACTATCTCGAACAGCTCTTGGGCAGTCGAGACGATGACGTCCGTGCATTTGTGCAGAATATTGGACAATTTCAACGGGGTCAACCCGTTGAAGGAATAAAAGAGGAAGAAACGGCACCCAAGGACGAAGTAGCAGCAGCCACACCTGCTCCTGCCAAGACTTCGGCTGCTGGAGCTAATAAGAAACCGAAGAACGACAATAACAAGGCCAAGTCTGCACCCAAGACAACGACTGCTGTACCCAAGACACCGCCACAATCCACTGCTAAATCTCCAACAAATGCAACTCCAGGTGCCAATAAGTCACCAACCGGAAACACGGAAACAGCTGCCAGCAAGGAACAATCCACTACCAAAAATGAAACTACCACCAACAATAAAACTAGCAATCCAGAACCACCCAAGAAGAAAAAGTACGGTCTCCCTCCAAAAGGACAAGCCAAACGAAATTGTGGATGTTTTGGAACCCTCCACAAACCATTAACCAACTGTCTGTATTGTGGAAGAATATCCTGTGCGGAAGAAGGATTCGATTTTTGTCCCTATTGTGGATATCTCGTCGAAGAGCCAATCCTCAATGATCCTACCAAAAAGCAAGACAAGGCGTGGCAACACAAGGAACGGTTGCTACGGTACGATCGAGATGCCGCCAAGCGTACCGTCGTACTCGATGATCAAGCCGATTATTACAGCAATCAAAACAATACATGGTTGACCGAAGAGGAACAAGACGATGCCTACGAAAAGGACTCCGATCAACGAAACAATCTGCATACCCGACAAAAACAAACACTCAATATTGCATTTTAATGACATGTAATTAATGAATCGTCTTATAGATACATTTAGATAGATAGATTGTGATTGCTAGCTAGTTTTGAAGCGTGGCGTGGCTGTCTGAATGGACTCTGGTGAGAATGACCAATCGACTCCAAGGACGTCTTAATGGCGGTCGAGGTGGGTCATAGATTCACAACGAAGCTATCGTACCGGTACGCAGTCGTTTGCTCGGAATTGTAGTGATTCTCCGCCTTGTGCTCAGGAGTGCTGTTTGCCGTTGTTGGGCAACTGCAGCATTCTTCAATCAACGAGGCCACTTCGCGCAGCAGAAAGGATACAGCTCTTATTGACACACACACATTGTAAGAAATCCCCTCCAAAAAGAGAGCGCTGAGTTGTCATGGACGACGAGCCACCCAATCCTGGAAAGACTCTGGGAGAGGTTCTGCTTCGTTTTCCCTGTATTTGCTGCTTTGATAGTACTCCAAGAAGGAACATGGCAATGGTTCTCGCATCGAATCATCATCATAGTCTCCACTCTGTCCTCTCTGATGATTTGTTACGATCAACGTGCTTTTCGCTCCTTCACTTTCCCACCGGCGTTGTCCCCGTGTTCTTGCTCTTTTCCAAGGCAAGATCCGCTGGGGACGCAAGCGAGACGTTACCCAAGTACATGCACCCAGAATTTTGCCCAGCAATTGACAGGCCGGTCCGAGCGTGTCCAGAAAACCTCTCGTGGACGACAAGGCCATGGAAAGAGACAGGCGATACAGCAAGTAGCCATGTGACGGGTAACTGTGAATGGATTTCGCCAGGTCTCGCACCGTCAAGCGATTCTGAATGGCCACACCAACCTCATTGGCCAGCTCGGCAGCGGCGGGACCACAGGCGGAAAGACCCAAGATTCGTCCCGAACGGCGCTCCACTCGCAGTTCCACAAAGCAAGCGTCCACAAAACGTTCGTTGCGTTCCATATCGGCACGGTCGTTGCCCTCCTCACGCACCGACTGGGATAAGAAGCCCTCCGAACCAAATTGTAACAGACATTCGCTGTATGTCATACCCACCGACGCCAGTTCGGGGTCAGCGAATGTAACCGAAGGCACGGTCGGGTGCGTGGAGGGGCTACCCGCCCACAGCATTCTAGGAAGAGCCATATTCCTCACTGCATGATACCCCGTCCACGCCCCATGAGCCGCTTTGCGGTTGCGACCTGTCACGGCCGAGCAACAATCCCCACATGCAAAGACACGCGGATTGGTGCGGGACATTAATGTGGCTGGATGAACCAGAATGCCCTCGTCTAGGTTCCAATCAATGCCGCCCCTTTCCAATGCCAACGCTTCCACGCTCGGTTTGCGCCCTACGCTGACAATCAGTGCCTGGGCGGGTACATGGGTTCCATCATCCAGTACTGCAGAAGGTGGACCATTGTCTGTACCTTGATGGACTCCAACGACTCGCCGTCCCAAACACAACTGGATGCCATCATGGCGCAAAATCTGGTAGGCCGCTTGTTGAAGGGAGAGATCTTCTTGTGCCAGAAACGTGGGGGCCACCACTGTGACGGGCAAGCCAAGACGGGCCAAAGATTGACCCAGTTCCACAGCAGTGGGGCCTCCTCCCACAATGACAACCTGGCCAGATGAATTATTACCAAAATCTTGCTTCCAAAAAGAATTGCTGCTGTCTGGCAACAAGACATCACGGTAGGTGTAGAGAGGCAAGGCGGCCTTGTCCGCCTCATTTTGCAAATTGCTGGGTACAATCGGCGACGCTCCAGTTGCAAGGAGGAATTTCTTGGATCGAATTCTCCTTCGGTTGGCTGTAGTTACTGTATACGTATCATCATCGTATGGGACAATCTCTATCTCATCCAAAGCCACAAACTTGGTAGACTGCACCAGAACCAACTCCAAATTTGGGACCCCTTGAAAATTGCAGATATCTTCTCGTTGGCGAACGGCAGTCACAGTTTCCAAGATGCGATTGCGAGAAGCCTGCTGCACAGCATTCAAATCTACTTCTCCATCCAATTGTCTGCTGGCAACAGATCGCAGTGCCTTGCTGGGAACGCAAGCAGCATTGCTGCAATCGCCTCCAACGTACCCCTTGCCCCGGTCAAGCAGCAGAGTCTTGAGCCCAAAAGATGTGGCAGCTCCTGAAGCAAAGAGGCCTGACGCCCCTGCTCCAATGATGACTAGGTCGAATACTTCTGGATCATCCTTTTTCTGGGAGGACACCGTATTGGAGGTGCCGACTGACAGACCTGCTGATCCTTTCAACGTCCAGAACCAGGTGATGGCAAAGATCAAAAGCAAACTTTGGTTTTTAACAACAAAGCTACTCAAAGGGCTCCTTCCTCTTCTCAGACTACGATCATCCATCACAGCTTCCCATTGCGATCTTCGGACTTTTGTTGTTGTGCGTTGGGAAAATGAGGCATGCATGGTGGTTGTCATTTTATTAAACGTGGGGACGTTGACTGACTAGCTACAACAATGCCTACCTGTACCGAACGCAAACCACAGCATTATTATTGCTGTTCTAACCAAAAGATCTTTCCTTCGGTGTGCAGACCCATTCCCTTGGCAATAAGCATTTCTTGCAAAGCACGATTTGTGGCACATGAATACTCGGAAATCCCGAGCTTCACAAAGGCTCTTGATCTTGGCGCGTGGAAGCCATCAGAAGATGCTCAACTGGCACTTGAGGTCGGAGACGAAGATTGATCTTGTGGGTTGCCTGGCGTACAAGTTCAAGGAAATGACCGACCTGGAGAGCCTTCGGTCGGAAAGCTGCAGAGCCTTGCGGCGGTCAAGGCGGTGGAGCACAAAGACGATTTTGTGCATGGCCCACCGACGAGATATTTTGGCCCATCGTCAAGACACTCCGATCCCAGCGCTTTATGCTCAAGGTTTCTTTGAAGACCTATCACTCAATCCCAAAAGCACACATCACTGCCCGGTCGACCTTTCAATATCGCTCCCAGCGATCCAAGATGCAAAAAGAGATTGAGTACTACTCCATTCTAACCTACTATGGAAGATCTCTCTTGAGAGACCCCGAGCAGTCGCGAACACGCTGGCCTGGCGGCTCACCGAAAAGAGCCATACCGGTACCGGTACCATACTGCCCTTGGACACCAACCGTCCTAGAACAAAGCTCAGTGGTGGCAGATGCTGCTCTGGAGGAGACTTCCTACTGCGATGGTGCGTGTTATCTTGGTGGCGGTCGCTGTTGGTGCAAGCTCACTTCACGTCTCAACTAATCCGAGTCGAGAAGGGACAAGCTTCAGGTCAATGACACCACGAGGTAGTTTTACATAGAAACACCAAATGCAGGTACGATGGCCAACCTCCGAAAGAAGCTTGCTTTGGATCAAGCCATCCTCCTCCGCACAGCAAACGGATGGACTTCGCGGTGTCCAAGAGGGATCCTCTACAAGACCACAGTCGTTCGGTGCACGCACCGGGTAGGCATCACGGATCGATGGACCAACACACCAAAGGAGTTTACAGTCCGAGTTGTTGAAAATCCACCAGCAACGAATGGTCTAAGCGACATTCAAAGCAACTTGTTCCCTGCCGGGAACAGCTATAGCTAGCAGTCTGACAACCTGGCCAGATGAATTATTACTAAATTCTTGATTCCAAAAGGACTTGCTGCTGCCTGGCAACAAGACATCGCTGTAGGTACCGATAGAGAGCCAAGGCAGCCATGTCCGCCTCATTTTGCAAACTGCTGGGTACAATGGCAAGATTTCGCTCCTGGCAAAGGACTCCACCAGAACTCTATCAATACTTACAACTTGTGGCATTGTGATCGTGACAAAGGTTTGTGATCCAATAAGTATGTTAGTTACATTATTAAAGCGCTGGGGCGGTAACACTGAATCACCGGAGTGAGGATGGAAATTATTGGCTCCTACCGTACTCTAATGAAGCTGCAGCTAGAGCCGTAAAGCAAGTAGCTGGCATTAAAGTTGCCAGCAAGCTACATTCCTCTCTTTAATATTGAAGATCGTCAGCTCCTGGGATGAATTCCGTGATGAAGACGGGGAAATCGACCTCACGTTCTTGGAGTGCCTTGCCCAGCTTGTACAAATGCACCACGGCGGCTTCGACTTCCTTGGGTCCAGCGCACCACAAGTCAACTCTCTGGCACATGAGCAGAGCATTCTTTGCCCGTTCAAATTCCTTATCGGGTCCACTGGTAAAGGTTGCCTCTAGTTCCTCACTGGAGTCCTTCAAGCTAAAGTAGGTTGCCAGTTTGGACTGAACTTCTGGATCATCTCTCCACCCAGGTTTCTCTTCGTCCAAAAATGGCTTTTCCGGATCAAATCCCGGAATGGAGAATCGTTCCACTAGCAATTTCTCCCATGGGAATTTCATGTAATTCTGGGCCGCCTCGACACGAGCTTGACTAATGGTGCCATTGGCATCACGGAATTTGTTTTCTTGGACCATGAATCCCAACAAATGTTGGGTGGTCCAATCCAGCTGTGTGGTAACAGCTGGCATGGCGTTGTCCGTGGTGCGCATCAAGAGAGGCATCTCTGGATTCAACAGCTTGAGCTCTTCATAGTTCTCCACGTACCAAGTCCTGATGGGTGAGAAGCAAGCAATCGAAGAGAGGAAAATCAGAAATCCACAATCAAATCTTCCGAGCTGAGGCATCTCCAATACACAGCAAAAGAAGAAGGACTTCTGCGTGCTCACTACTAGTCAGGAACAACCAAAGGAGAAAGACAACGACAGTCACGATCATGGGCACTTACATCACTCCCTTGGAGGATGGACTCTTGGGACAAGCGAAGAATCGCAACGCCGGAAGATGTCTCGATAGCCCTGCCTTCCACGACATGGTTTCCTTTTCTTCTACAGCACTATAAGGGACTATCTATTCAGTGGTGTTTATACCCGAAGAGTGCTCTAATCATTATCGACCGTCGGCTGTTGGCTTGCTGCATCATGCATCATGGCCGCCGGTCAAAAGATGCGAGGTTAAGGTCTGGCCATCGTACGAAACGTTCTGGTCGATTGAATCGAATCGAATCATTCGATTGATTCGATCATGAAAATCAGTCTTTGTGAGCCACTGGTACCGTAATAGTAGTACCTGGTACGGCTGTACTACTAGCTACTGTACCTGGTATCGGTACCAGTGTGACGAACTTGAATAGACTGGACACACTCTACGAGTACTCTTCTTCAAATCTTGCGACGCAGGCTCCGATGCCGCGTACTCTTCCAGCATCACGTATTGCACCAAGCCTTGCGACGCAGACGGCGATGCCGCATACTCTTCCAGCATCACCTATTGCACCAAGCCTTGCGACGACGGCGATTGACCCACGTACTCTTGCGACGCAGACAGCGAAGGCACCAAGCCTTGCGACGCAGACGGCGATTGACCCAAGTACTCTTGCGACGCAGACAGCGAAGGCACCAAGCCTTGCGACGCAGACGGCGATTGACCCACGTACTCTTGTGATGTTGAATGTGGAAATGTTGACTATGAGGGTGACGCACAACACAGTATTTTTATTGCTGTTTGAACGCAAAAGATCGAAAGATCCCACTTGCGACCCAATAACAGCGTATTACTTTTTCAGGCTACATGAGGATTGCTAAACTATTATGTCTAAAAGGTGCCTGCGGAGAAGTTGTGTGGACGGGTTGTCATGTGGGACTGTGGACTGTTGGGCTGTGAACTGTTTCTGGAATTTTTGGCCCAAGGGGCTCGTCTTTTGTCTTCGGTGGCTGGTTGTTATTGTGTATCAAGGATGGGATGCCCCTGGATGTTCAGTATCTAGAACGGAAGCGAACTTGAACGCTTTCATGGTTGAGGAACTTATGGTCAAGTGGCATGACACCAAAACCAACTCGGGACAGGTTCGGCTGTGGTTCGTCCTTGATCCATGGATTGGCCAATTCAAAGTCATAACATGTCCACATGAATGCAACCGTAGTGACAAGCTCCAAATAGGCAAACTGTTCTCCAGGACAGCGATAGATTCCATGGCCAAACATCATAGTTGGCAGTTTGACATCTCTACCCTGGGCATCCTTGATCCGAGTGTTGGGAAGGAAGCGAGTAGTCTTGGCAAGATGAGGTTCAGCGAAGACTTCTTCGTTCACATGCGGGTTTACGCAGACGATGTTTTCGCCTTTCGAGAGAATGATCCGTTCACCGGTTTCAAGTGTTACCGTCTGGTCTTTCATAACTCCACGGAGCAACCAGGCACTAGAATAGAGTCGGAGCACATCAGTAATGTAGGACTTGAGGTGGTGGAGCTTACTCACCACAGAGTAATTGATCTCCGGAGCATCTGGCGAGCTTGGGCTCCAGCCTTGTTCCTCCCCAAGAACGGTATGAAGCTCTGCCAAGACCTCCTCCCTTTCTTGGTTGTCACGGAGCAGTCTGTTCACCGCGATTTCTTCATCGCGCGCAGGTTGGCTTCCAACAAAGGGGGGGGGCTCCCAGAGAGCGTTTCGTTCAACACTGAGATGTACACACTGCCGGGACAATCTTCTTCCTCGTCCAACTCGATGTCTGAGTCCATCCCTTCCTCCTCGTCGTCCTCATCCCCTTCCTCCTCCTCTTCCTCCTCCACCTTGTGCAGACCGTCGCCGGGTCCCGAGCTGGCTCCTTCTGGTCCCGCGCTGCGTTCTTTTGGAGCATCCGTTTTCCCCTTGGTCTCGCTATCGCCGCCGTCTTCGTCGCTTGCCAACTTGAATCCAGTGCTTGAAAAGTCCGTTGCCCCTGAAGCTGCAAAATCCACCACCCACAACAGAGCTAAAATCATTCTCATCGGCTCGGTTACCCACTTCGACATATAGTAGGTGTCCTGGGCTCTCTTTTTACCCAGCTGGTGGATGAGGACACCCACCCCAGCAACATCACACAACACGGAGCAAAGCACACACTTTCTTTGGCCCTTGTTGACGTCTGCCCGCACCATGGACTCGCCCTTCAGCTGGGTTTTTCCAGCAGTTTTCTCCCCACTAACGATTCGAATGCCTTCATCTCGATGTTGACATCGCACATTAGGAAGAGCTTGCGCAGGTTCTTCTCGTTCTTTCGCACCTCATCCCGAATGATCACCATATCAGACCTCACCTTCAATTTCTTCGTTTGTGGTTGTGGTATGGGCTCGTAGGTGCTCTCTTCGTTGTCCTCCTTTGGGGGGTTCAGAGAAAGCTCGTCTCTCTCCCTCTTCTTGGATTCCTTAATTTTCTTGTTAAGGTCCCGCAAGAACTCACCGCAAACCTCAACGTTGGTTTCAGCAGGTGTCATCCCTGTCACCTGAATAACACCAATGTTCGGGTTAAGGAGGGACTTCAAGGCCAAAATCAAAACATGGGAAAAGACAGTCTGCGTCATTTTTTCGTTGGCTGAGGCGGCTTTCAATGCTTTCTGGGCCTTAGGCCCAGTTTCAACAACTTTTTGGCATCCTCATGGGAAAAGACAGTCTGCGTCATTTTTTCGTTGGCTGAGGCGGCTTTCAATGCTTTCTGGGCCTTAGGCCCAGTTTCAACAACTTTTTGGCATCCTCCGAATTCGGTTTTTGGAAGGCCATTTCCATGAGGCCCGAAATCCCTTCCCAATTTACGTCACCAACTAGTCAGTGGCCAAATTGGACTTTGGGACTCCCACCACCGCCAAGTGCCAATGAACATCCAACTTGATCCAATCCACTGCCGACACCGCTTGCTTGTTGATTGTTGGCTGTTTCGAAGCTTCACTTCAGAGTAGACACAACAAGTAAAAGTATAAGACAATGTTCATCTGTGCCGCTGTTATTGTGTTGACGCTGCTCTTACCTTTGGCTTCGGCCACCAAGGGCCATGCAATGGAAGGGTACCGAAACTTTGCACAGGCAAGTATTTCCCTGCTTGCCTTTGCCGACGAAGACGTCTTTGGTGGAAAGAAGGATAGTCGTGGAGGTGGAAGGCCTCATCAGCATCGCAAGAGAAAGTTTGTTAATGATATATTCAACGAACTTGGACCACACTATGTGAGGCGTGCTTACCGGATGGAACCAGCTTCCTTTTGGAAGCTTGTGCGAATGTTGAAGCCTTACATGGAAGGCTGTTCTGGAGATGACAAGAGCTGGAAGAATGGAGCCAAGAATGGGTTGATCCCAATGCCCAGCCGCGTCAGTTGTGCAATCCGGTATTTTGCTGGTGGAGCTGCCTATGACATTTCAGTAGTTCATGGAATAGGCCACACCGATGTCTACCGCTCTGTCTGGAAAGTTGTCGATGCCGTGAACAGGTGCCCAAAGCTTGATTTCTCTTATCCATCCAGTCATGAAGAACAACAGACCATTGCCGATGCCTTCGAAAAGGTTAGCCGTGGAGTATTCAACTGTTGCGCAGGTGCAGTAGATGGAATTCTCATCTGGACAGAAAGGCCAAGCGAAGAGACATGTCAGAATGCAGAATGTGGACCAAAGAAGTTCTTTTGTGGAAGGAAAAAGAAGTTCGGTCTGAACATGCAAGCCACGTGTGATGCTTACCGCCGCTTTCTGGACATCAATGTCTCCCATCCTGGATCAACGTCTGACTATCTTGCTTGGACATCGTGCAAACTCCATCATCAGATCGAAAAGGAAGGTTTCATGAAAAAGGGACTCTGCATCTTTGGAGATAATGCGTACGTGAACACCCCCACCATGGCCACTCCATACAAGGCTGTCGGAGATGGGCCCGAGGATGCGTACTGCAATACACGGCTCTTAGCCTTATTCGCGACTCGATCCTAGATAGGGTCTGAGTTCGACTCATGACTGAGTCTTTCGTGAATAGTCATTGAGACAGGGTTCTCATGACCGCTAGTCATACTAGGTCGATGGTGAAACATCGCGCTAGATATTTAGCTGGCGTGGAGAGATTCCACGCTACTAGATAAATGCTAGACGAATCTTCACGCGTTCCGTTTTTGGGATCGTGGAGTGAGTAGATTGCTACCGCAACCTACTCTATCACACTCTACAGTCTCCCGCGGGAGTTCAGATCTACGATCCTTTGATTGTGGATCTCTCTCGTTGATTAGTTTTCATAGCTTTCTAATCCTCTCTTACTTTCATTCTCTCAAACTCAAAACACTCGAAAGATCTTTACACTAGCTTTTAGCGTAGTGCATTACAACTACTATCATTCCAACGTCAGGATTACCATCGAATGTGCTTTTGGCATGCTGGTGCGCCGCTGGGTATCTTGTTGCGTGCATTTCCCAGCTCGATCACCATCGCCAAAGTGACTGCCATGGTTCGCTGCCTCTGTCGCCTGCACAACTTTTGCATTGATGAACGTTTGGAAAGGGAGAGGTTGAATAAGGATTTGGATTCGCCAATCTCAGGAGGAACGTACCTTGGACATGGCTGAACGTCTTGCAAGTGATGACATGAACATTGTTGTTGGCGAGGGTGGCATTCTCACTGAACCGACAGCTGGGGAAGAGTATTGTCCGGACGCTCTCCTTCATGGTGGGGAGCACTTCGATGATATTTCCTATTGGACGCGAATTGGTTCCCATCGCCATTACAATGAGGTGCTCCCTCGCGAACGTATGCTGGAAACTGTTGAAAGCCTTGGATTGTGCCGTGTCACACCAAAGAATTGGGTTGGAAAGACACCTGCTCGCTCATACAAATCTTAGTTGCAGTAGATAAAACATTACTTCTAAAGCACATGATCGCAGATATATATTCTCTGAAGGTAGTATTGGCCAGGCTCTCGCAAGATCACTCCTCAACGACTCGCCGAATTTGAAGAGAGGAAAAACTGCGATGGGTGGATTGGCGATGTTTGACGACAAGTTGGATGGTGCTTCTAAGTCTACAAATCTACAGTCCTAATAAGTCCAGGTATGTTTCCAAAACGTTTCAAACTATCGCAATTTATCACTCGCACAAATGCCGATTGAGTATCGACTTTACTTTGACAGTGGTGGCAGGCGCCAACAGTTGAATCTTGTAATGAGAGCAATGACAATTGCTTTTACTCACTTCGAAGACAACAGCAAACACCTCACACTGCGCTTTTTCCTCCATCCACCATAAACCAACAACCATGAACACAATGACCATGGGCTCTAGTTGCCTTCATCATCATCATCATCACTATCGTCAGAGTCAGAGTCAAGTGCAGCTCGTGCTGCGGCGTTAGCAGCAACAGCCTTCTTCTTCTTCTTCTTTGGAGGGTTGAGCGATTCCTCGATAGCCAAACTGTTCAAGCATTCCTTCACAGCCTCAACTTGGGCTTCGAGATAACTGACTCTACCCCCCCAGAGCTGGCTCAGTTCGACGCTGGTGACCTCCATGACTCTGAGTTGAGCCTCGAAAAGCTTTTCCTGGGTCTCGCGTAGTTCCTTGAAAATGGCAGCACGGGACATGGTATGCATTGCCAGACTCATCTTGGCACGGAAGAATCCAAGGGCCCTTTCGTCGACTCTTCTTTTGCGGGCAGCAGTGGCTTGGTCAGTTCCGGCAACGGAAGAACAAACTTCAGAAGAAGCCGCGGAAGATTCAGCGATGACACACATCACGTTCTTGAGGACCTGCTGCTCATCGGAAACATGCCAAAGATACAGGATGTGTTCCTTGGTTTGGGAATCCAAGAAGTTTGCCCTGTTGTCGCCACACTCCATGTTATCCTCTCCCATGTGACCAAAAGCATCATCTCCTACGGAACGTTGACCGAACCCATTTCCACTTAGCTCCCACTTTGCAATCATCTTGATCAGCTTGGCACGACAGTCACCCCAGGGGCGCTTCACTTCGTCTGGTGTCACCAGCCCCGGCATCTTCTCCAAAGAACAATCGAGAACTTCAGCAAAAGCAAAATGTAAGTCTGGCAAGCACTGAGAGAACACTTCTTTTTCTGGGTCATTGAACAGTCTGGCACAAGCCTCGAAGACAGTTTCAGGCCTGTCTGCTGAATTGCGAGCATCCAACTCATCACGGTCACCAATCCTCTGCATCTCTAGGAACAATGGCCTGATCTCATCACTCAACATGCACTCGAAGAGACGTAAGTACGGTTCTGTGGTTGTCCACGCTGAAGCCTTTTCCTTCTTGTTCTCATCTTGCTTTTCTAGATTTGCGGCACTGATCAAATCAAACAGCTTCAACTCTTCTGCAACAACAAAGGCACAATCGGATGGACAGGAAATGGGATGTTCCTTCAACCACTTGATACATGTAAGGCGTGCCCAGTAAACTCACTTCGGCTCCGCTGTACCATCACAGTACGCACGGCGTTTGATTTCTTCAACCATGTGCTTCTGTGTGGGCGTGACCTTCTTCCTCAACTTCATGGAACAGTATGGCTCTTCCTCGACATTACCAATCTCACGTAGGTCATGCGTCTTCAGGCCAATTCCCATTGCCATCAACTCAGTGTACTTCTCACCACTGCACTTGTAAAATCTCTCTGCAGGACCTACCTCTGTTGCGTCTGGGTGTACAGCTCCTAACTCAGCAAAAGGAATCTCAGAGAAGGCACGGGGCATGGGAGGTGAGTCTTCTTTTGGAGGTGCCATGGTACAGGCTGAATCTAAACTATCGAAACAAACGCAAGTCCGCTGCCGTTAAGACATTCGAATGCGAACAGGAACCTCTTGGAACGTTCCTCGAAAAGACTTAGAGGACTCTTATTAGCCTCAACCCTAAACTCAACTGACATCACGATCGATCCAAGCCACTTCTACACCTCTTCTTTTTCATTATTTCGATACCTCTATCTTTACTCTCTATTGACTCTATCAAGATGATGCTACTCCTCTATAGCGGCTACTCCTCTTGTAGACGTCTCCACCATGACAGGCTCCTCTTGGTTGGCTAGCGGCAGCCGCAGCCGTTCGATCGATCGGCCGAGGGATCGATTCGGTTGATGACGGTTGATGACTTCTTTCTTTATCCACGGAGCGACCATGACACCGGAGCGATCGATCGGAGCGACCATGACGCCTCTACCGCTATTGAAACAACAGGCGACTACTACTAGTACAACAAGCGGCGCCTCGACAAGTTTCTTCCGTTCGACGGCTCGATTCGGTCGGCGATGACTTCTTCCTGCTTTCGGTTTCGGTCGACGACTACTTTTCCACGGATCGACGACGACTCTTCCGGCAGACGCATGACAAGGAAGGCTCCTTCTAGTGCTACTACAAAAGGAACAAGCGGCATCAACTCTACTCCTGTATTGACTGGTTGACCGACAACAAACAAAAATGAAATCACCTCAATTTTGCCACCTTGGAGCCAACAATTTCCTTTTGAATCTGTGGGATGGGTGCTCCAGGCTTCATGCAAAACCACCCATTCATTTTCATGGCTCTACAGTGCAGATTGAGTGCTGAGAGTGAGGACAGGATCACCTTTCCCATGGAGAAATGCATGGCAGAATGACAACAAAATGGAATCCAAGCCTGATTTTTCCTTGAGGCCCCATAGAAAAGCTTGGAGATGGCCCAAGATTTTCAAGCATAGTGTCTGTGAGTGTGTTGGGGAGCTGCTTCTCTAAAATCTTGGGCTATCTCCCTGTATTGGTAAAGCTAATAGCCATTTGGTCAACACTGTTGCCATGGTGGTAAAATTCATTTTATTTGCTTCAATCTTTTCTTTGTTGGAACCATGCATTTCAATGCAGGATTCGCGAAATGACCACTTCTGTTGGAAATGACCGCTTCCGATTTTGGTTTGGCCAAAACGAGAACCCCATTTTGACACCTGTCAGCGGTAAATAAAGTCATCCTGTATTACTATTTCTTTCTTCAACTATCGAACTTTCTAACAATGAGCTCTCTCTCTCTCTCTCTGCTCTTTCTGCGACAATGACACCAAAGCCGACAGAAGAGAACTGATGCACAAGCCGCTTTGGCTTTAAGCCAAAGCGATAGGGGTAAGTGGCTGACTTGGTGCGTGCCATGTCTGTTGTATTGGTTGTTGTATTGGTTTCGCAGTTTAATGGGCGGTTTAATGGCTTGCCGTTGTTGTTATCTTCATTGCCCGCTTGTCCCATTTCTTCCAGAATGTTCCCCAAAAGGAGTCAAGGTGGTGTATGGGTGGGCCAATCAAACACACTCTTGTTCAAAAAGCCGAATTCGGTGCCCTGCAAAAACCTATCTCGAGAGTTTGCAGCAAACCGAATTTGGTTGGCCTGCAAAAGCCTCTTTTGGGTTACATTCTGAACACGTACTTGCCAAAAAGGCCACAAATCCCGAATTCGCCTCCCTGCCAGAGTTGTTGAAACTGGGCCTTACGAAGCCGATTGGCGTGCGATTGGGCTTGGTCTGAAGTCACCTTACCATTCAATCGCTCCAACAGCTTGTTCCCCTCGGGAAAAAGGAAAGACTTCGTTCGGATGCGGTTCTTCCCGTGTTCAAACATCCCAGGCTGAGCCTCAACCCATCAATTGACTGCCCCAATTCTGAGACGCCGGTGGAATTGGTGCAGAAAAAGTCATCATTCTGCGATTCCGCCGGCACCGTGATCGGCGCTGTGTTCAACTCAGCGGCCAATCCCAGCGCCGCATCGACCTTTGCGGTAACTTTATTTATATCTCTATCCGAAGAGACGAGGTTATCCATGATCTTGTCGATATCGCCCGCCACAGCCCTGCCCAGGCTCTTACGATAAGACTTCATCCCCTGTTCGAGAACATTTGCCCAACGTTTGTGGTTGGTGTCGCATTCATTAATGATTGTTTCCAGATCCTTTTCCTCCAGATATGGACACCCGAACACCTCCTTAGAGACCTTTTCTCTCATATCTTCGCGACACTTGAGGAATTCGATGTACTCCTTCTCCCCACGCTTGTGAGATTGTGAGAGATCATAAGATCCTCAACAACCTGGAAGATCAGCCTGCTTCCAATCCTGCAAGGAAATAGTAAATTCAACTGATGAGGAGATGAAATGTTGGTGTTGAAACAGTTGAGGAGTTAGATAGTTTAATGAGTACTGTAGTCACAATATAGCAAACGAACTCTCACGCTTCCTTTGCGCATGCTGCATACTTCGAGCAACTCCTCTCACTTACTTTAGTATTTGATACGGAGCACCTCGGAATTTGGTGGACTGTCGACCATCAGACCCTCACATCTTTCGATTGAGGGCGCCCAAATCCTTTCAAGATATTGAAAGGCAACAAGCAAGATTTCTGACTCAAGTTCAGAAGATCAAGGTCAGTTTCCTGACAGACAAGAAATGGCTGTAAGAGGAGCTGAACAAGCTCGTCAGGCAGAACAGCAACTCCGTATAGTCCGTGACCAGATCAGAAGAAGGAGAGAAAGAACGCAAGCAAGGCAAAACCCTCAAATCATGGACGCCGAACAGATCCGTCAACTCGTCGAGACGGCAATGGCAAATGGGGTAGCAGCCACGTTGCAGAACCAAAACGTCCTTGATGCTCTGCGCCCACCGCAACCGGTGCCTCCGCCACCGCCTCCTCCAGTCGCATTCGCAATCAACCCAGCTGGAGCCAGAAATCAACCATGGGATTTTACGTCAGCAACGGGATTGAAGATCTTTATCGCGTCGACTACACCTTTCAAGATTCTCTACGACGGAAATCAAACTGGACTTCGGGACTTCTTGCGAAAGATCTTTCAACGTGCCGAATCATACGGATGGACCACCATCTTGATGATCAACAATTCACGAGGAGTGAGCAAGAACATCACCACGCAACATGGAAGTTTGACTGTGGCAAACGTGAGAGCTCACGCGATAATGCACTACGCTAAAAGCTAGTGTAAAGATCTTTCGAGTGTTTTGAGTTTGAGAGAATGAAAGTTATGAGAGAGATTAGAAAGCTATGAAAACTAATCAACGAGAGAGATCATCATCAAAGGATCGTAGATCTGGCTTCCCGCGGGAGACTATAAAGTGTGATAGAGTAGGTTGTGGTAGTAATCCTACGTCTCTCCACGATCCTAAAACGGAATGCGTGGAAGGTTTGTCTAGCCTGGATCTAGTAGCGTGGAAGTACTCCACGCTGGCTAAATATCTAGAGCAATGTTTCATCATCAACCTAGTATGACTAGCGCGGTCATTGAGAACCCTGTTGCAATACACGGCTCTTAGCCTTATTCGCGACTCGATCCTAGAATAGGGTTTGAGTTCGACTCTGACTGAGTCTTCGTGAATAGTCATTTGAGACAGGGTTCTCATGACCACGCTAGTCATACTAGGTTGATGATGAACATGCGCTTCTAGATATTTGGCCAGCGTGGAGTACTTCCACGCTACAGATCCAGGCTAGACAAACCTCCCACGCGTTCCGTTTTAGGATCGTGGAGAGACGTAGGATTACTACCACAACCTACTCTATCACACTTTATAGTCTCCCGCGGGAAGCAGATCTACGATCCTTTGATGATGATCTCTCTCGTTGATTAGTTTTTCATAGCTTTCTAATCTCTCTCATAACTTTCATTCTCTCAAACTCAACAACACTCGAAAGATCTTTACACTAGCTTTTAGCGTAGTGATTTTGTTAACAAACACAATAGACTTTCAGCTACCCTCAACCTATTCCTTCACCATGAAGAATGGCTCAGAGGAAAGCATGCGTTCCCGACTTGAGAAACAGTTGCGTGACAAACCATTCTTCCTCTCGTCGACAATGACGAAAACACGAGATCGACGATACTCGTCCACCACTTGCAACCTTCGCAACATTTGCCAAAGCGCAAAACAGAAGACTCTGACAATGAGGACAACTCCTCTATCAATTTCAATCACTTGGATGAAGAAATCTCTATCTGAGGATTAGGCAGGATGATGACTCACGGAACCCTTTCCGATTTCTCATACCAAAGTGATGAAGATATCTCACAACTAGAATAAACAAGAATTGTTGCAACTGATGACTCTACGGCAAATTAGATGATTGCCTAGAAGCTGCTCAACCTAGACTCTGATGATCTATTTAGCATCGTTAACCTTTCCGTGGCCAACCACCTCGTAAACGTCGCAAGACAAGAGATCTCAAACCCATCGTTTATGTTATGATTTAACAAGCGAGAAAAAGGGAAACCTAAACCCCATTACACTCCGTGCTTGCTGGATACAGGAGACATCCGAACCTTGATTGCTCAACCTCATGCAAGAAAATTACGCATGAAGGAGCTTGGGGGCGTCCAAACGATGTGTACTACCCGCAGGAGAATTAAACACCAGCACGAAGTGAAAGGTGCATTATGCATTCCTGATTCCACAATGATAGAATAATC